ATATATATAGTGTGTGTGTGTGTGTGTGTGTGTGTGTGTGTGTGTGTGTGTGTGTGTGTGACCCTGGACCACTGAACCAGTCATAAGGATCATTTTTTTGAAATTGAGATAATCTGAAAGCTGAATAAATACGCTTTCCATTGAGGTTTGTTAGGATAGGACAATATTTGGCTGAGAGACAACTATTTGAAAAACTGGAATCTGAGGGTGCAAAAAAAATCGAAATATTGAGAAAATCACCTTTAAAATTGTCCAAATGAAGTCCTTAGCAATGCATATTACTAATCAAAAATTAAGTTTTGATATATTTATGGTAGGAAATTTACAAAATATCTTCATGGAACATGGTTTTTACTTAATATCCTAATAATTTTTGGCATAAAAGAAAAATAAGAATTTATTTTTTTGACCCATAATTTTGACCCATACAGTGTATTGTTGGCTATTGCTACAAATATACCCCAGCGACTTAAGACTGGTTTTGTGGTTTATATATATATATATATATATATATATATATTAGTATAAACATTAATGTATAAATGATAAGTGTGCAATTGTATTAATATTATTAGTGAAAACATCACTCATGACCGTGTACGATGTGAACAAGTTGTTGATTTATGAATATCACTCCAACTTTTAATGGATAGTCAAGGTGATGCTTTATCAGTAATCTGTCATCTTATCAAAAATGTTCAAATATGATTTATTTTATGGTCAGTGGAAACTTTCTCTCAGCAAAAATTCTCTTTTACTTCAACCATCAAAAAAGGCAATCATTCACATCTCCACTGGACAATAGGATACGACCCCTATTAGTCAAGACATATTCATTATAAAAATCAATAATCCACGATGTAGCCATGCTGGCCTAAAATGAAAGCAGCAGGCTCATAAAACAATGCTGACTTCACTTCTGTGTCCTGCCATATGGACCTCAGAGTCCTGGTCAAAAAAAAAAAACTGACTAAACTTTAAGACTGTAGCTATAGCTTTAGATTTACTGAAAAAAGTAATTTGTTATACTACTGTGTGTTTGATCACATCAGTCTGGGAGAAAAAAAAGCATACACTTTAGAACTACACTGAATATTTTGAGAAACAAAAGAACATGCTAAACTATTTTGATCATGTGTGTGTGCATGTTTGCAAAGTTTCCCATCAGATTATCATGATTAAACACACACAAACACAGAATTACAAAACTTGTTTTACCTCACGCACATGGTCAAGCATGACAAAGTCTGTGGTCCAAAACAGATACCTTGAGCCCATGATAAGATGGACAGAAGGAGATTCGGTATGCTCGCCATCACGGGGTTAAGATTAAACACTCTTGTGGTTTGGCCATCACAGGCTAATGAGGCACTCATGAAAGGATTACGAAGAACTCATAGGATGACTGGCTCTCTAACTAACCTACACAGTTCACCTCACACAAGCACAAACACCTGCAAACAAGATTACAGCTGGATATATAAGAAACAGATTCCCAGCGAAAATCTATTTTAACAAATTTCCCATGTCCTTTCATTAAGCATTGTAGGACCATACACTGAAAAAAAAGTTACTTTGAAATAATTTTAACTCAAAAAATTGCTAAATATCACAAATAATCCACAAAGAACATTGAATTAAAATGTTTAATTTTGAAGTATAAAGACTGGAATTTTTTTGTAAAACATACTCCAATAAGTTTTTTTACAGTCTATATGTATTTTGGTTCATGTAATAATCAAAAGCATGGATGCATTGAGATCTATAATGTGTCTTATTCCTTCATAAAATACATAAATGATGAACTAATGAACTTAAAATTAAAACTGTACTTCCGTTCACACAGACTCGGTAAGCCATTTTGATTAGTATTGTTGTGACATGCCATCATATGACCACAAGGAGGGTGAATTCTCACTCGGCTAAAGATCTGAATGTTTGTTACCTCATCAGTCCCAAAGCTGACATCAAAGCTGAGGATCAAGTCTAAAAGTATCAAGGTTACACACTGTTACGCTCCCTGAGAACCACCACCAGAACACCACCAGAGCCCGGGGACATGGAAAACAACACATCTATTTACTGTATGTTGTTTGTTTACTCGTTCATCTGTTTGTTATTTTCAGATTCTGTTCCTCACCCCTGCCAGGCAGTGGGATATTTGGTGATGCTATCTGCGTGTGTCTGTTTGTTTGTTTACTTGTTTGTGCAGGCATAATGTCCTTAGGGACCGTAAACAAGAGCAACAACGCTGGGAAAAAAAACCTTCATGGCCTATGAGGGCATTGCTGGACTAAAGCAAGGACACTGTAAGCGAACAAGAGCCATGCAGCCCTTCAGACATATTACAGTAGAAGACAAAGGTGAGTATCTTAGTCACTGTAATCTAATAACATTCTCTTTTATGAATGAAAAAATAAAAACTCCTCAGCACTTTCATCTAGCACTTTCGATTAACATTTAAGAGCAGGCTTTGTGGTTAATCAGGGGTAATAATTATCAAAGTCGACAGGTAATTAAATTAAACATAATTGGCTACACGAATTGGCTGTTCTACAACATTTTCCCCCACATAATTAAAGAGAAATATGTCAGTATTCAGAGAGAGAATGATTTAAAAAACAAAAAAGGGGTTTAGTCACACTACAGAACTTGATGATGCTTAAGAGGTGTGTTAAAACTGATAAAAAGTAGTTAGCATTGAACTTAAGCGATCTATTTAGTCGGTAAACGAACCACTTTAATGGAATATTCTGGGTTCAATGCAAGTTCCCCTCAATTGACAGCATTTGCGGCATAATGTTGATTATCACGAAAATAACTGTCACTAAAATATGAAGGTTACGGTGTGAAATCTTATAATTTTATAAAATCACTTAACATTCTTTCTTTTCTGGTAAAATGTATGCATTATATGAGCTCTGAATTTGTTCACAAAATTTTTATAGGCAGTACGTCATAACAATGAAGTTCTAAAATAACTTTGCACAGAAAAAGTTGTATTTTTCACACTAAAATCATGTTTACATGCATATTGTTTACAACAGTGAGTATTTTAATGTTTACAGATTGGCTCTATTCACTTCCATAATAAGTGCCTGACTGTAACCAGATTTTGCTTCTTTTTATTTACTTTTTTTTTTGTGGTATCAAC